TAAACAATTAATGTGGCTATACACTGAAATCTATCCCAATCTCTACAGTGTTGTAACTCACACACCCATATGCATATACACACACCACTGGAAGTGCTGCTTTAAAATGCAGGTAAGCTTGCATGGTTGTTTAGTTATATTACGGGCACAGCTTAAGGTCTCACATTTTTGTTTTAATTGTGCTTTCCTGCTTTTCCCACTACATCTTTTTCTCTTGAAATTCAATGAATCTGATTAAATATTATATTTTATTTTTCCTTTACTTTTATTCCTATAAGTGGAAAATTGCTATTGAAGTTTTAGCTGGATATCTTTTATCTGTCAATTACTCATGAATAAATCACATAGTTAGGGAAAATATACATAGCAATAGGACATTAAAACCACATTTCTCAGCCCCCAAAAATAGGCTTCCTGATTTTATGCTGCTGTAAATTCCCTAAATATGTTCATTTCTAATTGACCTAATAGATTTTTAGTAGAATAATTGGGACTGGCATTTTATTTTTCTTGTGTTTCCATAAACCTGGAATTCTCAGGGATTGAAAGACTCTGAGCAACTTCTGTTTGTAAAGGCTTTGAGTGCATCAGAAAATGAAGAATTTAAAAAACAGGTGATACCAAAGTTAGGCTATTGTAGATGTCTTTCTATATAGCAAATAAGCATTTTTAACACAAAAATACAGTGCAACATACATACATAGTTATTCTAGCTGTGATTTCAGAATGTATAAAATTATGAATTTGTGGAGCACAGCGGCAGAGTAATTATTTAGAGTTTCAGTGTGAAGCCTCTTGATGAAGGGCTTCTTTCAATTCGGTTTACCTCTGTGGGTGGATATATAGTATAAGGGAGGGAGCTTGATCTAAGTCTGAACTCTAAGTCCCTTATAAATGTTTCTTTTGGCCTCTTTGTGATGGACACTGATTCCATCCATCTGTTTATGTTTTTTATCTTCTACCTAGACATGAAATGGGCATTTATTTGATGACTTTGCATGGTTTCTTGAAGGAAAATGTTGGAGGGATGTTTTCAGGGCCATCAAACCCATTTTAGTAAGGAAAGTCATTAGTTGAGCAAAATAAAACCTTCAAGAAATTTCAAAAGAAAGTTAAGAATAGCAGTCAATAATAATAATTGATGGCAAAGAAGAATAATTCTATCTTGACCTGCCTGGGGAAATTGGAGACTGTTTCCTCTAGTTGTTGACAGAAATTGCCTTAAAAAAAAGTGGCCCTCTATAGAATTTTGAAGTGAGAAAAACTCTTTATTAGGGGGTCTGTTTTTTAATTGACCTGGTCAGGCGCCATCTATCTCCAACTTTTCACAGAGCTCCAGGCTAGGAATGGCATCTAAGGTAAAATTGCTCCAAAGAAGAAAAAGACATTTCAGCTTCAGAATTTTGAAACTATAGTAGTTATGTATTTCTGCCTCACAATGTTTAGCCATAAACATTGCTGTTAATTATGGATTAAAAATCTCTGGATTAAAAAAATACATTTTCATAAATATCAGATACAAGTAACTTAAGCTAGCAGACAATAGATATATCTCTTAAAATTACAACTAAAAAATTCAGTCCTGTAGTTTCCTCACTATGAAGGATTGTAAAGATTGACTCTTAAGACCCAGAATTATATTCTCAGTGTGATGAAGAAGTTGTCATCGTGCATCTGATGTGGTTTTTATTTTTAACTGCATTAGGTACAAGTGAGGTTATTAGTTTCCGATTTGAGTAGAGGAAGGTGAATAGGAAAAATGAAGACATCAAATGATACAGCAAATTTTAGCTGATAGAGTTGGGGAGTAAACTTAATAGAGAAACATGGTTGGATTTGGGGTTTTACAGGGGTACAGTTATAATTTTGAAACAATTCAGTAAAATTGGTAAATTAAATATTGACTTTTTTCCCAATATGCTCCAGTTCCTTAAATGGTTTTTGTTTGTTACTAAAATAAGAGCACAATCTTTAATGCAGCCCCAGAGGTCCTTGATGATCTGTCTCTCACCAACTACTTCTATGTTAGCTTAACCATACTGATGCTTGTAAGTAGAAATACCTCGCTTCACTCACAACACAAATGATCTTGGACATATTCTTCAACAAAAGCATTGTACTTTCAATAGAGTGGCTTTACGAGCACTTCCAGTTTGTCGCACAGAATAACAAAAGATAGGTACTGAAGCATCATTATGTAATAAAAATTTTAAGTTTTATTTTTTTACTAGGGACATTCTTAATTGAAATCTGCATTTTTATTCTTTGGGAGTGAATAATAGAGAAAAGTAAAACACCTTCTACTACAATTTGGTGCCCTGTGTTTTTATTGTTGTTGTTTTGTTTTGACAAAGTCTTGCTCTGTTGCCCAGGCTGAAGTGCACTGCAACCTCTACCTCCCAGGTTCAAGCTATTCTTCTGCCTCAACTTCCCGAGTAGCTGAAATTAACAGGCACCAGCCACCACGCCAGGCTAATTTTTGTATTTTTAGTAGAGATGGGGTTTCACCATGTTGGTCAGGCTGGTCTGGAACTAACTTCTGACCTCAGGTGATACACCTGCCTCCGCCTCCCAAAGTGCTAGGATTACAGGTGTGAGCCGCCACACCCGGCCAGGTTTCCTGTTTTAACATATTCTAGGGTTCCAACAGTTTCCCATGATTGCCTTTGCATTATCATTGTAAATCTCAAGACAGTGAAATGCCATAATTTTGACTTCCCAAATTCCCTAAACAAAATCTCAGAGACCTTTCGGAGGTCCACAGATCACTGTCTCAGAATATCTGCATAAGGATAATTTTTACATGTTTACTGTTTCTGTTGCTCTACAATCTCCTAGCCTGTCCAAGAAATCTCAAACATATTTTCAGGTAAAAACTTATATTCATGCTAACAGAAATCTTCTCTGACACATCTGGTATCATCTTCATAGTACCAATGACTTTTCCTTTGAGATGCTCAAAATGCTTGGAATTTCCCATTAATTTATTATTTGTTTGAATTTTTCATCTTCTAAGAGACAATAGATCGTAAAAATCAAATAATTACAGCCCCAGGAAGTCCATGCATCAAATTACTGAGTTGGACAGTTTGTAGAATAAAAGTAAGCAGACTCATAATATCTAAGGGAGGAATGCATGATGCTCTTTTGAAGAACGTGCAAATTTTTCCCCTTTGTGGAATACAGACATGTTGAAAATTAAACTGAACATATCCTAGGACTCCAGTTTTGTCACCTGTGCCTCAATCTGAAATATTCTAAGGACATAGTCACTGACTTTGTATATATTTTGTTTTGCTTTGCCTTTCAAAAAATGTTATAGCAATACCTAGCACTGTGTCAGAAATATGTTGAACCTTCAGATAAGTTTAATTAATGAAAGAACACAGTTTTTGCTACCTGAAAAGTTATTAGAATATGAATACATAGAGAATTTGGTGTTTGAGAGGGTAAAATAGTGATTTCAGGCTCTTTAGTGGACTACTGATTGCGAATTGTAAGTGACTTTTGGGCTATGTGAGACATAAGTTAAAATCAGATGCAGAAAAGTGTCCTATGATGTATACACATGCAACACTACAGTGGAACCAAATTCATGGCTCAAAAATTATCAGGATGACAAGTGATAGCTGTGTATTTTCCCCGCCTCTATAGTAAATACACTTGATTCCAAGTGCTACAAATAGATGTTTCTGTAGAACTTGTTAAAGTGATTGTGGTTTTTCTTACATAGTCTTACTATAGTAAACAACACTGATTTAATTTTCAAATATTGAACCATTGTTGAATGCCCAGGATGAAAGCTAATCATTCAATATATACTGTTTTTATAATATTTTTAAATATGTGTTTTTAACTGACAACATAAAGTTATTTTTATAGTTATGGTGTACAACATGATGTTTTAAAATATGTATACAATGTGAAATGAATAAATTGCTAACCTAATTAACATATATGTTATCTCACATGCTTTCTTATAGCTATAACACTTAAAATCTACCCTTTTAAGAGTGTTCAAGTGTACAATATATTATTATTAATATCCACCATCCTTTACAATAGATCTCTTAAAATGCTTGTTCCTGGGCCGGGCGCGGTGGCTCACGCCTGTAATCCCAGCACTTTGGGAGGCCGAGGCAGGTGGATCATGAGGTCAAGAGATCGAGACCATCCTGGTCAACATAGTGAAACCTCGTCTCTACTAAAAATACAAAAAAATCAGCTGGGCATGGTGGCGCGTGCCTGTAATCCCAGCTACTCAGGAGGCTGAGGCAGGAGAATTGCCTGAACCCAGGAGGTAGAGGTTGTGGTGAGCCAAGATCGCGCCATTGCACTCCAGCCTGGGCAACAAGAGCAAAACTCCATCTCAAAAAAAAAAAAAAAAATTTTTTTTGCTCCTATCTAACCGAAATTTTGTAGCCTTTGACAAAAATCTGCCCAAACTCCCCTGACCCTAGACCCCAGAAACTACCATTCTACACTTTGCTTCTGAGTTCCACCTTTTAATATTTCACAAATAAGTGAAATCATGCTGTATTTGTCTTTCTGTTCCTGGCTTATTTCACTTAATATAATGTCATCTATGTTCATCTATTATGCCAGCAATGACAGAATTTCCTTCTTTATAATGCTAAATAGTATTCGATGTGTCTATACACCACATTGTATTTATCCATACTTAGATTCTTCGATTCACTCATACATTAATAGACACTTAGGTTAATTCCATTTCTTGGCTATTTTAAATAACGCTACAATGAACAAAGAAGTGCCGATATCTCTTTGACATTCTGATTTCAGTTCCTTTGACTATATTCCCAGATGTAGAATTGCTGATTCATAATGATGGTTCTATTTTTATTTTTTAAATAATCCTCTGTGCTGTTCTATGAAATAGCTGTACTAATTTTCATCCTTGCACATTTTCACCAACAATGAGAAAGGGTTTCCTTTTCTCCAGATAATTGCTAATACTTAATATCTTTGGTGTGTTTTTCCTTCAGAATACCATATGTTTGGCACTAACCAATTTGCTAGTGACTATGGCTATTTGGAGTGATTTCATTAGTTAATCTTCAGTCCTTTTTAAATAGCCATATTAACAGGTGTGAGATTATAATTCATTGTGGTTGTAATTTGCATTTCCCCGGTGATCAGTGACGTTGAGCATTTTTTCAAATACCTCTTGGCCACTGACATATCTTCTTTTGATAGTTGTGCCTATTTTGATAGGCACATTTTAAATCAGGTTATTTTTTTTCTTGCTAGTGAGTTGAGTTACTTGCATATTTTGAATATTAACCCCTTATCAGTTCAATGGTTTGTGAATAGTTTCCCCTATCCCATAGGTTGTTTCTTAATTACATTGGTTGTTTTTTATGCTGTGCGGGAGACCTCATTTTGCTATAATACCATTTGTGTATTTTGCTTTTTTACTTGTGTTTTTGGAGTAATGTCCAAAAATTTATTGCCCAAACCAGTTTTATAAAATTTTCTGTTTGTATTTTCTCCTCTGAGCTTTACAGTTCTAGGTTATATTTTAAGTATTTAAACCATTTTGAGATAATTTTTGTATATGGTGTGAGATAGGTGTATATTTCTATTCTTCTGCATGTAGATATGCAGTTTTCCCAACAGCATTTGTGAAAGAGATTGTTCTTTTCCACTTGTATGTTCTTGACATCATTGTCAAAAAATCAATGGGCAGTAAATACATGAACCTATTTCTGGGGCCTCTGTTCTGTTCCACTTGTCTGTGTGTCTCTTTCTATGCTAGTACCATGCTGTCTTGGTCACTATAGATTTGTGGTACATTTTGAATTCAGGTATTGTGATGCTTCCAGCTTTGTTTTTTTTGTTTGTTTGTTTGTTTTTGTTTTTGTTTTTTGCTCAAGATTGCTTTGGCTATTTGAAATCTAAATAAATAAATAAAACTAAAAATTTCAAAAAAACTTTTTTCATTTCTGTGAAAATATATTATTGCAGATTTAACAGGAATTACATTGGATGTGTTGATTTATTTAATAGTATAGACATTTTAACAATAGTAATTCTTCGAATGCATGAAAAGGGGCCATCATTCTATTTATTTGTATCTTCTTCAATTTATTTTATCAGTATTTCATAGTTTTCAGTGTACATATCTTTCACCTCCTTGGTTAAATTTACTTCTGAATGGGCTTTTGTCTTACAAGTATTGTAAACGGAATTAAAAAAAAAATTTTCAAGATAGTTCATTTGTAGTGTATAGAAATAGTACTGACGTTTGTATGTTGACTTTGTATTCTGCAACTTTAATAAATTTCTTTATTATATTTAACAGTTTTTTGTTGAAATCGTTAGAGTTTTCTATTTATAAGATCATGCCATCTGCAAACAAGGTCAATTTAACTTTTTCCTTTCCTATTTGGATGCTTGTATATCTTTCCCTTGCCTAATTGCTTTGTCTAGGACTCCCAGCACTATGTTAAATAGAAGTGGTGAGAGTGGACATCCTTGTCTTATCCATGATCTTACAGAAAAGGTTTTTGACTTTTCACCATTGAATATGATGTTATCTGTGGGCTTGTCATATATAACTGTTTTTGTGATAAGATACTATCCTTCTATCACTATGTTATTGAGAGTTTTTAGCATGAAAGAATGTTGAATTGTGTCAAATGCTTTTCTCATATCTATTAAGATGACGGATATAATTTTTATCTTTCAATCTGTTGTGGCATATTACTTTTATTAATTTGTATCTGTTGAATTATCCTTGCATCTCAAGAAAAAATGACACTTAATCATGATGAATGATCCTTTTAATGTGCTGCTTAATTTGATTTACTAGTATTTTTTGAGGATTGTTGCATCTATTTTTATTAGGGATATTGGCCTATAGTTTCTTTTTTTGTAGTGTCTTTGTCTAGCTTTGATATTAGGATAATGATAGACTAAGAATTAAAAGAGAAGACACAAATAAATAAAATCATAAATGAAAGCAAAGATATTATAACTGAAATCACAGAAGTACAAAAGATTCCAAGAGTCTAATGTGAACAATTATACACTGAAGGTTGGATAACTTGGAAGAAATAGATATATTCCTGGGAACGTACAACCAACCAAAACTGAATCGTGAAGACATAGAAGATCTGAACAGAGCAGTAATGTGTAAAAACATTGAATCAGTAATAAAAAGCCTCTCATCAAAGTACAGCCCAAAACATTCATATTGAATTTTAACAAACAATTAGAGAAGAACTAACACTATTTCTTCTCAAGATCTTCCAAAAAATTGTAGAGGAGAGAATAATAAAAACTCATTTTATCTTTATCTAATTTTTGCAATCAGTTTGCTTATATAATATTAGGAATTTTGTCTCCAGCTTCATAAAGTATGTTGATGTATGTTTTATTTTTCTAATCATTTCTTTGTCTGGTATTTTTATCAACGTAATGTTGACTTCATACAAGATTTGCAAAGTCCTCTTCCATTTATGGAAGAGATTACATGTAATGGTTATTTTTTCTTCTGAAATGCATCTTAAGTATTGTCCTGTAAAATTATCTGGGCCTGAAACTTTATATTTTGTAAATTTTATATTTGGTAACGTTATATTTTGGTAATGCTTTTAACTTTAAATTCAAGACTATTTGTGTTATCTATCTTTTCTTGTGTGAGCTTCAGTAGTCTCCTTTATTTTAAGAATGATTACATTTCATCTGAGTTTTGAAATGTGTTACATAACATGGCTTGTGGTGTCCCACTTTTATTCTTGTAGTAGTTTTGGAATCCGTAGTAATATTCCTTGTTTAATTTTGATGCTGGTCATATCTCTCTGCCTTTATTTGGCTTCTAGATCTTTTACTTATTGTCTTTTACCCAAAAAACAAAAACAAAAAAGGTTATGTTTTATTTGAGTGTATATTTAATATTTCATTTTTAAAAAATTCTCCAGAGGAATGATCTGGGAAAAAATTTGGAAATATGTAAATAGGTAATGAACAATAATAAATAATAACATAACAAAAGTTGTATAGACTTTTTGTATAGTTTTTAAAATGCTTTTTAAGTGTGTGTTTTCATTTTCTACAAAATGCTTTATATTTATTTATACGATCAAATACCAACAGGTCAGTAATACCAATAAGAAAAGAAAACTACAAACTTTAAGGTGTGAGCTCACAGAAGCATTGCCAGAACCTGAAACTCCATGAATTTATAGTAATACTTTCGATTCAATGTGTCTTTCTCTGAAAGAGCAAATGTTACCCAATAAGCAGAAATAGGTTTAGGACAAACTATACATGGGATTGCATTCTAATTAACTACACAGAAGATTAAAATATAGTCATGAGAAACATAGTTGGTCAAAACTGAGAATACAATTAATTGTGAGCCAAAATAATACAATATAAAAATGCAAAAAGGCATCACTTTATAATTAGTTGCAATAATGGCTGTGGAGGCTATACTTCATGTACTTTCCCCCCAGAAACCTCCCCAGGTTCTCTTGGTAAGGATCTGAGAAAGATCTCCTAGCAATGCTGACAAGGAATGGGGAAAAATTAGTCATTATGAAGCCCTTAAGATATTTCTTTAACACGTCTACTGTCCAGGAGGAAAGACATAACGAAAGAACAATACTAAATATTTATTCCCAGTGGGAAGATACGTGCTTCTCACTTCAACACCTTTAGCCTTTCTGCCTCGCCTAAGAAAGGAAAAAAAAAAAAAAATCAAAACCAAAGTACAAAGCATGGTCAATAGGGAAGAGAGTGCTAAAGAAACTGACAGGGAATTTGGCCAGAGAAGGGAGTAGAGGTAACAATAACAACAATAATTAATTAATTGATTTAAAAAATGTATACCCAAATAGAGGACAAGAAACACTTGTAAAGGCCGTGTTCCCAAAACACAGCTCCAGTTAGAGACTGAGATTTAATTAGAGGATTACAGAACATATCCCTTGCTAAACTCCACCAACACTAACAAAAGCCAGTTTAATTACACTGGATTACAGAAGAAATAGCTGTTAGACAAAGACTCCTGCTAAGGAGCAGTATAAAGGGAAACCCCAAAGGCAAGACTGGAGACAAAAACAGGCACACTCGCAAAATTTAAATTCTTTCCTAACTACAGCTACAATAAACATAAAATACAGTCCACACTTAGCCAGATTAACTTATGCAAGTCCTTACACTAGGGGCCTATTTACCACAATTCATATTACCTGATACAACATGTCCAGCTGACAACAGAAAATTACAAGGCATACCACAGGCCAAAAAAAAAAAAAAAAAAAAAAAAAAAAAAAAAAAAAAAAAAAAAAAAAAAAAAAAAAAAAAAAAAGGAAAGAATAGCATTTTGAATAGGCAAGCAAGTATTAACACCAAAATATAAAATATACATTTTGTATTTATAGAAAAGATATTTAAAATGATGTGCTCAATATATTAAGAGATCTAATGGAAAACATTTTTTCTGTATTATAATTTGTAATGGAATATTTATTTTTCTTACATTAATTGCGCAGAGAGATAACAGCTATAAGGGGGAAAACAAACATCAAAAGAAAATCCTGAAATCAAAAGTACTGAAATGGAAATTAAGAATGCTATTAATGAGTCTGTTATGGCTTGATTATTTCTGTCCCCTTTAAAATCCGTTTTAAAATTTAATTACCAACGCAACAGTATTTAAGAGGTAGTACATTAGTGGGTTATTTCTATATGTGGGTTCCATCCTCATGAATGAGACTTGTAACCAAAAAGAGCTGAAGATATCTTTCTGGGTGTTTTTTTCCTTTTCACCCTTCTGTCATGTGAAGAAACAGTGTTCATCCTCTCTGGAGGACACAGCAACAAGGTGATATCTTTGAAGTGCAGACTTAGCTCTTACTAGACGTCGAAACTACTAGTGCCTTAGTCTTAACTTTCAGTTTCTAGAATTGTGAGAAAACAAATTTCTATTCCTGATACATTACCTAGTCTCAAGTATTTTGTTTCAACAGCACCAAAAACTAAGACGAAGCTCATGAAGACTTTCAAGAAAACTGAGGAAAGAATTAGTGAGTTTGAATGTA